ATGTATTTAGAAGTGGAGATGCTCTACTAAGAGACAGGCTTTGTTTCACTAGTGAATATCTGACATTGTGCTGTGTGTTTTTTGTTTGTTTTTGGTCCCTTAAACCATGTGACAAGCCGATCAACACAGAGTTGATCAGCGATAATAACCACTTCTGTTTACCTTTTCACGTGGGGGGACAGATCAAAAACTTTTCCCAAAACTAACAAAGTTACAGCCAGAGTCTACACCGCTGGCTTAACGCACAGACACAACAGGAAGTGTAGAACCTGGTAGTCAAGGAACAAGGATGGAGGAGGATGTGGTTGGTTACCTTTGTAAAGGTTGGTGACTGCTGTAGCAGCGTTCTGAAATGGCACCCACAATGACAGGCCCTGCTGATGGCATACTCTGTCTGAAGGTGAGAGAGAGGAATAAATTAAAAAAACAAAAAAAAACAAAACACTTGTAATTTAAAGCAAATACCATGGTGCCATACTAGTGGTGGTCAAATGACAGCAAAGGGGTTGAAGTTGAGGATCATTTTCATTCGCCATTTTGTCTTGCATCTACAACTGCAAGGGGGACAGGGTTTGGCATAAAAATAACTGGCAGTCAGCGCTAGATGGCCAGCTTGGCAGCAGCTTGTTTAGCAGGAGAGTGCCGACACACGAACTTAACTGCCCTCTCAGCAGTAAAGTTGCAGAGCCCAGTCAAACACACACACTGGTAAAGACTTAAGCCAAACTCCTGTTTCTACGTGCCGGGGATTTATCCCGACCGATAAGAGCCAAGCTACAGCAGATTGTAGACAAACCAATATTATCCTCGCCATCTTGTGATTATAACGTTTCGCATCGGCTCAACTCGCCAGCTAGTCGGCTGTTTAAAAAAACAAAACAAAGCCAGTGGACACGTATGTGCGGGCTCTTATTTCAACGCGTTTGGGGGACAACGTCTACAACCAATCGATACCGGTGTAGCAGATGTTAACACTGACAGCACACAGCAGACTGTCATCTGGGAATGTCGCGTAGCTACGATTGTTGTTGCCATCGCCATTTTGTAACTAGCCTGGCTAACCTGACGATAGCGGCTGTCAAACTTTAGTGTCAAAGTATTCGCGTTAACTCGAACTACCTCATCGCTTCGTCGATGTGGCCACTGCTATTTGGTGCTCGGTGTAACTACACAACGCCAGGTTATAGCTCACAATTCTTTGTCACCAGCTAGCCCGGACTAGCTAGAAAAAAAATGTAGCATTGCAAAATTCACCTGTAAACGATAGTTTCCTCAGTACCCGGCTAGACGAGGAGTTTCCTAAAGAGCTAGCTACACTGCAGTTAATGTTAGTTTATAGGGCTCGGCGTACAGTCAGGCTGCTAACAAACAAGCCAAAGGGGATGCAGGCACCGTTAGACGGACAAGCAAAAAGGAGAGCGCTGGGCTGGACCTTTGTATAACTGTGCCACGGCAGTGGCGGAGTTCTGGAAGAGATGCCACAGTTTATCCTGCTCGTTGTCGACGTCCTCCTCGCTCGGCTCCCTCTGCTCCGCTTCGGCCAAACACTGTCGCTCCCATTTTGAGAACCAGTGCTCGGGTCCGTGTTCCTGTATCTCCGAGTCTCCGTCTTCCTTCTTCTCCTCCATTTAATACGCCAAAAACTCGAGGGAAATTCGATTTTTAGCTTGAAAAGATGGCCGTTTCGACGCCGTCTAAAGAGTTATATGAGGGGAAATCATGAGTACTTTTATGTTTTTGTTATTTTTTTTCTTTTCTATTTCGTACTACGATACTGCGTCGCCACCTACTCCTGCCATCATAAACCTAGCTAACTATTTTTCCTAGTTGCCGACGTCGGGATATATGCACCACAGACTATCCTGTTATGCACTTCCTCCCGCCCCATTACTCTACATGTCAGCGACAAATGGCCACATGAACGCTGCAGGGTGGGCTCTGGGTCTGTGCACGCAGTTTAATTGGCTTTCAGACATGTCCCTCACACCGCTGACACAAAAGAAGCTCAGTGAAAATTCACTTACTTTAAGTGCTCGCTGGCAAATTTATTAAGCTAGCAAGAGACACAGAGCTCAGAGAGCAAACATATTATATTATATTATATTATATTATATTATATTATATTATATTATATTATATTATATTATATTATATTATAGTTGATCATTTCTATAGCATTAGATATAGCGAATTATCACCTATTAATCTAGGCATAAGTTACAGACTTATAATATATGAACTGTTGCATTGTAAGTATATTAAAATATATACGTCAACAACAAAAAATAGACTTTTCTAAACCCGTTCAAGTTCATTAGACGAAGCTGAGTGTAGGACTGACATATGTCCACTAGATGGCGCCATTTTATGAAACTCTTCTTCAGACCTGCTGCTCTGAGAAGAACCAGCTACAAGAAAAAAAGAATGTATGATTAGTGGAACCCGTATTGTCCCACACAGTTATGTGTGCATTAAAAGTATTGCTGCTTTTTGACAATGTTCTTTCATTTGTTGAAAGAATGTAATAGTTTGTAATATAGGTTGGTTGAGTATATCAGGAGGACATGCTAGATTGAGCACAGAAGACAAAGTTAAAGAGCCAAGGCTGAGGGGGTTTGGGATGCCTTGGATAGAAGATGTTGGAGGAAAAGAGAAAAACCTCAGAGAAGATTCGTGGATGTTGTGAAGGATGATATGCAGAAGGTTGGTGCATATCATATCTGTCACAAAGGAAGATGGGTGGAGGAGAATGATGGGGGTTACAGGTGAGATGGAGAAGCAAGCAGCCAAAAGAAGAAGAAGGAAAAGATACTTGTTAATAGTAAAATCTGGAAATTAATCCAAAATGTGCGTTTACTTTATTAACGCGTTCCTGACCCGGCAGGCGATCAGCTCTTAAGTAAATCACATGGTCTTAGAGCAGGAAGGCAGCAGTTTTACTATAGTATTGTATTTTCCAATTAGTTTTTGACTTTTATTTAAATTCAATTTAGTTCACGTCGGCTGATTTTCCTGTTTCAGTTTAGTTTTTATTGTTTGAAAATGTTACGTTGTAGTTTAGTTTTTACTAGTTTCAGTGTTAGTTTTAGTCTTTTTTCATTACTATTGCATGAAGGGCAACTGCCAGGCACAACCTAGGAAAATCTGACTCATTTGACCCACTGTTGCAGGCATCAAGAGTCTGAATAAACAAAGAGTCTTTATTATTATTATTAGTAGTAGTATTGTTGTTGTTATAATCAAACTATTAAAGCTAAGGATATTTCCTCATTTTTTTAAAATGTGATTTTAGTTACTTTTATTCAAAAGTTTATTTTATACTTTTAGTTAACTAAAATGTTTCACTGGAATCGAGTTTACTTTGGACTTCTTATTATAATAACCTTGGAAGGCAGTAGATTTTATTTGGTGGATATGATATTATATTCTAAATACATTGCGCAGTTGTTGTTTTTCCATTTCAGTTTTTTTTTAATTGTTCTGTTTTAGTTAAATCTCAAGTAATATAGTGCATCCAAGCATGAAAGTGCACGCAAGTTCTTGAAAACCCAAGTCCATAAAGTTAACACACATGTTGAATGAAACTGATAACCAGGTAAACACAAATTAAAATACAAAATTGAATAAATAAAATAACTGGTAATGACTCGAGCTGTCCATGGTGTGATATTAAAAGTTAATTTAACACAGCTGTGCAGGCACAATAGTTGGAAAAAAATATTCGTGTTCACTATAAAATAAAAGTCCCGCTTGTGTAAATGGGTTCCTGTCTTTAATGCCAGTGAAAACCACGTGGTTTTACAGTTTTATTGACTGAATCATGTTGTGTGTCCATACAATGTTTCTGAAAGCACGGATTTAATTTTTTTTAAGTAAATCTGTTCAGAAGTGCTCAATGAAAACTTTTGGTTTTGTCACCTTGCTGGGTAAAACGTCACACACACGCTATTACCACGTATTTACACAGTTTAGCCCCACAGCTCAGCGATTTCTCCCATTCAAATCAATGTCACGCCACGTACAGCCATTAAACCAATCCCACTCGTGTAATAATTGTCGTTAGCTCTTATATTTCCTCTCCCTTTAATACACACACGACCCGGCCTGTGTGATTTCGCGTGGATGGAGAAGCTGGCTCGGGGATGGGCCCGTGTTTGGATCTCCATGCGGATGTGACATTTCAGAGAAAAGCGCGACCGCCATTTTGAGATTTACCTCAGACATCACAAACCAAACGGGAGGAGCGGGTTGAGGGAGCCGCACAGCTCAGGCTAGCGTTGTATGACCGGGCACATTCTTCACGAGAAGCGAGGGGAATAGCTAGAAATGCAACGAGCTGCTGCAGCGTTTCGTCGTCTGTCGTGTTAGGGCGGTTTGGAGGATTTTGGTTTATGTCGGGCCGCGCAAACTCTCGTCTCCGTGAACTTCTAAATTAACGTTAACATCAGTGCTATTCCGTATTGGGAAGCTGGTTTGAATGGATAGCTTTTTCCTCCGCTCTCCCCCAGACGAGGGACAATCGGAGGAGCACACAGACTGGGGATATCGCAGGCAAAGTTGTTGAATGTGTGTGTATAGCAAATGAGCCTTTGTTTTCATTGTCGTACCTTTAATACCATTTGGCTGCCTAGTGTCAGGTAGCTTAGCGCTAGCTTGAAACAGGGTATTTGTACCTGACGGTGCAGGTCGTGCTCAGAGTTCTCTTATTGCCCCACATTTCCCGGGGTAGACCCGGATTGATTTAGCTAATTTCAGCGGGCCTCCGATTTCGGAGTCCCCCCGCCCTCCCCTAATTACATCCATCGCAACCCCTGCCGTCAACCAGCGACTCGCACCCACCAAAGGCGCCGAGATTGGGCGAATAGCGAGCAAATACGTCCGCGTTTCTCTACCCGCTCCCCCGCCGACCTCCCCTCCTCACTCCCCGGCGCTGACAGCGGACAAGGCCGAGTTCGCAACAGAGCAGGCCCGGCCGCCAAGGCTCGACCTGTCCCCACCTCCGCATCCCACTACACCTCACCAGCAGTCCAGAACCCGGTTCCCCACCGAGTCGACCCTGGACAAGGTCGAGGGCAACAGAGAAAACAGGGAACACCGCATCACACCTACAACAACAACACCGCCGCCTGCCAACATGAACCACCATCACCACACGCAGCAGCAGCAGCAACAGAAAGCCGGCGAGCAGCAGCTCAGTGAACCGGAGGACATGGAGATGGAAGGTAAGTAATGGCCCCGAGTAAAGTGAACGGACTTTTTTTAATCTTTTTTTTACCAGGTTTGTGCCATAAGTTAACATTTGCACGAGAAATGCACGGAATTTTATCCGCATTAACGGAGCCCAACATCTCGGTAAACACGGAGGCCTGCAGCTAGCAGAGATAGCCGGTTGGTTTTTTTTGCTGATTGTGCGTCCGATGCAGCATACTTGTATTCAGCTGACCTCATTTTGCGTTACAAGCAAACCGAGTCCTTAACGATCTTCGTTTGCTTGCGATATTCAGCTGTTTGCAGGTTTATCCAGAACCGGTGGCATTTTCTCCGCACATTGTCGCAGATTAGCCGCATAAATCATTCATTCTGATCGGCAACCGTATCTCCAAATAAACAGTTCGTCGGCTTGTTGCTTCGAGATTGCCAAATCACCGCCGTCTAGAATCCGCTTGCACTCACAGAATTCCGGGCCCGATGCTTGTTCGTGGCCCAAGTGTTTGTAAACAGTCTGCTTAGTGTTGCAATTAACACGGATCCAACGCTAAGGTAAATTAATCTCTCTGCTCTGACTTGGCTGTGTGGGCTTTTGAGGTGATTTTGACAGCTATCGCTAGCTGCGTTCATCACTTCTCCCGCGAATAAAGTAGTGATATATATGTTTTTATTTTTTACTGATAACGTTAAACTTTAGTCTGTTAGTTGTTGTTCGACAAGTGACGTTGGTTCAGCCTCTAAAAGAGAGCGTGTGCGTTAGCATCGTGTGATTGCTCGTACATTAAATGCTGGTTTCTAAATGGCTAAAGAGATCGGTTGACCATTTGGGTAAAAATATGTTAGGTGTATCTCCAAAGTTTGACATGTTACCATATTGTAACAGAGTATCTGCTTCACTAACATCCACTTTGCGCGTTACGCCTTGTAAAACGCGAAGAACGGTGCTAGCGCGGCTGCTAATATTGAGCTAGTCAATTAGCTCCAAGGCGCACCTCGTTACGTTCTTTCTCTAGCTAGCATGCTAGCTAGCTAGCCAACTAGTGCACGGAGGGGGTGTGTGGCGTTCCAAAATGGTGGCTTGTATTTTGCATCGTTAAGATTTTGCCTTTTGCCCGAGAGCCGGGCCTTGAATTTTTTTCTCCGAGCTTTTAGCTTGTGTCTAAATTTTATCTCACGATTATAATTTAGCAGCTGAGGGTAAAATGATTCCTCTAACAGTAAATCTACATCAATAGCTAGTACTTCTTGACTCCAGCTAATGTTGGCTAATAAAGGCCTTGAGGTGAATCTGTGGCTAGTGTTTGCTAAGGTGGCTAACGGGAACGCAGATGCGTCAATCCTGTGTTAGCTAACACACTACATTTTTAGCTATCCTGCTGAAATAATAACAATGTGGAACACCAAGCGTACATTATTCCGTTTTATGTTAATTTATATCCTGGTATTTAGTGTCGTTACGTGAAACGTGGAGCAGCGCTGGCAAGTAACGGTAGTCGCCGCTGCGGTAAGCCAGGCCCGCACAGAAGCAGCGCGGGGATTTGCTGCTTCATTGTATGGAAGACCAAAAGGCATGGAGCTCGCCATTTTTAATGATCTGTTTTTTTTTCTTGTTCTTTTTTTTTTCGTTTTGGGGGTCCAGTTTGGAGTCCGAGGCGGTCATTTAAGCAGTCTGCACACACAGCACTACCAGCATTTTTATTAAGTTTACACTGATGTCAACTTGGGGCTGAGTATAGGGACCAGTGGACACTTTCACTGCGTCATTCAAACATTTTAGTTTTACTATGTTTTCACACGCTTTTGCTTGTTATTTGGGAGCACGTATTATACAAATGACCTTAAGCAGTTACATGCATGCTGTGGAGTAAATAAAGAAATGACTAGGCATAACATTTGCATTGTTTGATGATTCATTGTAACACTAATCACTAGTAGCAGGTGCATTTAGCGGACTTCCCCACCCCCCTCTTTTATTTGGTAGTTCACCTATCATACCTTATCCTTAGGTGCACTGAAGCCTTACAAGGACAGTGAAGACAAGTTGACATAACAAACTGTTCACTGGTGCTTCTGACTTCTCTCAGAAGCACCACACACACACACTCCCACACTCCATTTCCGTTATGGTATGAGGCGCCATGCAGTTGCAGCCCCACCATCACTCATTTGGCATAGCTAAGTCATTTTGCCTTTTTTTGTGTTTTTGTTTTTTTGTGTGTCTCCGCACTCTAATTTAAAAGCAGGGCTGTTGCTGTCACATGGCTGGCCAAGCTTTTAAATGGGTCCCTCTAAAAATTAATATTGAACAATCTTGATGCCTTTATATTCAAAAGGTTCTCAGAAATACAAGACTAAGGGGTACAATTGGCACAATGGTGATGACTTAATATTGTTTATGGGCATTTTGGGCCGGTTTGCTCAAAGTACAGGAACACAGCTTAGTGTGGCCTGATGCAGCAAACTGCATTGTAGCCTCCTAGTGCCAAGTCACTGTAACAAGATCAACCGTGTAGTTATAACCTTTTTGGTGTGAGTTAACCACACATCTGGAGTGTTTTTTCCGTTTGCTCAGCATAAAGTTTGTATTTTAGAGGAGAAGATTGAGTGTGATTATTGACAAACATTTGCTACTTTTAGTCCAAAGGATTTCAGCTTCATAAGATTGGAAAAGATTAGCATTTTTTTTTTCTCTAAAAACTTTTCACTTGAGGGTTACTGCAGCTATAGTGAGACTTCAGCTAAATCACAGGGGTTCATTTTTATTCTCTTTATAGTTTAAGCCAGTCGGGGTAAGCTCTGCAGTCTTGCTCTTTGTGGATTTTTGTCCCATAAGTAAAACACCCAGCTCTTACTGTTGCAGTTTTTGGTGACAGAGCCATTAATAAATACATTTCGGCATAGATTGACACAGTGGGCGGGACAAAAGGTTGTCATGGAGCTGACTGACGGAGCCCAATAGCATGGTGTAATCTGCTTGGGTAAATGAGGTCAGTCTCCTGGAGGATTCGGTCAGCCTCCTGGAGGATTCGGTCAGCAGCGTTACCTGTAGACCGACACAGAGGAGTGCCACACGCAAAACTTTGTGCGAGAGACGAGGTGACAAAGCAACCCATTTTGGGACATCACAGGATCCGGGCAGATTTCACTCACTCCTTGAAGTCGATTCAGCGCGCATCTGATTCCCTCATCGGCGTGTTTTGGTAAATTAGACTGTGCGTCGAGCTGCCGAGCTGGGATAATTATTGTCCCCTGTACGCGTGTGTTTTGTCTGAATGATGACTTGCTGCTTAATCCTGCATTGTATCCGTAATTACCCAGCCTACTGTTGGTGTTGCTGGGCCTTTGTTATGCTCATACACACACATACACACTCACACATTCGCTTTCTGTTGCTCTCACTCTGTCATACACAGACTGAGAAAGGAGGCTTAAAATCCCGTGTCAGCAGGGTTTTCCCATTAAAGTGAAGAAAAAGGTAAAAGAAGGATCCCCCACAATATATATATATATATATGTATAATATAAAATCAGTTGTGACCCAAACCTGAAACTAAAAATGGCATTAATGGGAGAATAAGAGGACGCTTAAGTTGTACTTCTCTGTCTACTCACATTGTCCAGATTTGTTATTTTGGTTTAAAATTATAAAATGAACATATAAAAGTACTTGCCACGCTTTATTAATCCTAGAGGGATTTTCGATCGCATGTTCCTGACCTTTTGACACCTGCGAGTTGGGAATGCAGAGTTTTCAGCCACATTTACCCCAAGTAAAGAAAAAAAAAAAGTGTCTCTAGCATGTTAATCTATCCAGGAACGCCATATCCATGCAGCCTTATTATGTTGTTTATCTCTCCCTGTGTAGCTGGGGATACAGATGATCCTCCAAGAATCCCCGCCAACCCAGTGATCAATGGTAACGTGGCCATGGCAGATGGACACAACAATACAGAGGAGGACATGGAGGATGGTGAGGATTATGTGCACCTCTGCAAACGCTTTAGTTTCTTTGAAGCTTTTCGAGTAGAAGAAACTGTAGGTCGTCTGGTTGAAATTACACCTGAAGTTAATGTCTTTATATGTAGTAACTCAAATGATGACAGCTTGTCAGTGGGAAAACATAAAGACTCTTGTCCTTGTTATTTATTGGCAGTGTATGAATTAAATTTAAACAGTATTTTCTCTAACTTAATTTAATTTTAAGCTCTCTTACTTCTGCCAGTTTTCAGAAGTTGTTTGAAGTAACTTGTAATTATGTCTTTTACATTCTTTAGCGTGAGTTAAACATAACTTATGAGGTCAATAAAAATCAAATGGTGCCGCAGCACCGTGCTGCACCACTGTTGCATCATAGTGGGCAGTTTAGGCTAACCCCTGCTCGACTGCAGCAACCGTCTACTGCCAAAACATGTGGGGTGGAACTCTGTCTCGAATTTCTGTTGTCGGATTGCAGGTGTTCAGGAATAATGACAGTTCTGACCCCAATTATTTGGATCACTGGGCAAATAAAGCAGAAGTGCTGTATCGCATTAAAAGTTCTCAGTGAATCAGAGGGAATCTGTTACACACCAAATCTTCTCATCCCCCTCTTAACGCGTCACCCTCCCGTCTTCTCACAGACACTAGCTGGCGGTCGGAGGCGACCTTCCGGTTTGTGGTGGAGCGCTTCAGCCGCCTGAGCGAGTCAGTGCTCAGCCCGTCCTGCTTTGTCCGGAACCTTCCCTGGAAGATAATGGTGATGCCGCGCTTCTATCCTGACCGACCACACCAGAAGAGCGTGGGCTTCTTCCTGCAGTGTAATGCAGAGTCAGATTCCACGTACGTAAGAGGGATTTGGGATGTGGGCCTTTTGATATAAGCTGTGATTATCAACTCACTTTATGCTTTCTTGGAAATTCTGCTGCTTTGAAAGTTGCAGTAGGTTTTTCTACTGTAAGTTGGGATCAGTGGTGCTGTGAAGAACTTCGTGCAGATGTGTTATCCACTACACTGCTTCGAGGGATGTAGTTTACCTAGAGCCCCGAATTGAGATGTGCCGAAGCTGCAGTAAAAACTCTCAAGTATCTCATATGATATATGATGTTCTGAGTGAGTGAAGTGAAAGTGAGGTTTTAGTGTGTAGCCAGGAGGCCTGACGCACAGTGGTTGTGGTCGTCTCTGGTACCTGGCAGGACCGCAGCAGCTCGGCGCAGTTATCCCATACTGTGAGACTGCAGTGGAAATGCTTTTTATTGCTGTTTTGCAAAATGCAGCTGCTAATGGGAAAACATATTTGTTAAGACTGCACACAGTCAAGTTTGGAGCCGGTGAAATTAGATTAGAACTGGATTTATGTTTTTAATTTAGTGAAAGGTAAAGAGGCAATCCTGCTGCATCGTTTCTGTGCTTTTCGGCTTCATATTAGACAGTCAAAGCTTCTTCCATATGTCTAGTTTTTCAGCAGCATCTTCCTCTTTCCCAGTCGGCTTAATAGCTGGGACTAGCAAAGCTCTGGTATTTAATGTTAACTTAACTACACAATTAGAGCACTTTTAAATATTCTGCTCTGTTTCTTCACTCGTGTCCTATACAGAAGGATACCTGCCAGAGCAGCAGGCAGCCCGCTGTTTGAAGGTTTACACCTATGACATCTTTGTTGTTTTTTTACTGGTGTTGTCAAAATACTTTAAAACATATAGCAAATTATTCCTCAAGAAAAAGACGCAGGTTTTGCTCCATTTCACTGTGTTATAGCTGCAAAAATCCAAACATCATGCCACAATCATAACTGCTCCTGTAGGTGCATCCATGTAAAGAGGGGTTTTCTTTGATTACTGGAGCAGAGTTGGATTGGGAATCTTCTCTCATCATTGCCACACAGTGGTTGTTGAATTATTGTTATCGAGTCGTCGAGACGATACATATTAGCTGATTGTGGCAGGCTAAAGCCTTCACCACTTTCCCGTCGCTCCCTGTGTGAAGTAGTAGGAGTTGAAACCTGCACAGCTTTCGTGCTCCGACATTACAGCCCAGCCGTCCTGTGTTGCGGTTGGGTATTGCTGCATTAACGGGGTCACAGCTGCTGGTTTTAACCACTACTCTGGTGGCAACCCAGCTTTTGTTTTCTGTGCCGCTCTTGAGACAAACAGCTGCCAGTTCCCACAATTAAATATCATTTTTCACAATCAAATGTCACTTTTTTTGCCCTTTTCTTTTCTTTTTTTTTTTTTTGTGCAACTCAGCTGTATAACTTCATTTAGAAAATGTGTTGTCAGCCCTATTTCCCTGGTGGGGGTTGTTGTTTTTAAATACCCTTGTGTGTTTGGGTTTATATTTTCTCTTCATAATATATCTTTGGTGTGTAAACTGAAGGCTGTGGGAGGGCACAGATGTAAATGTGAGGCTTATAGATTGATTCAGTTTGTAACGCCACTCTGAGAGATGTATAGATGCTGTTGGTGATTTGGGTATATCTTGGTTAATGGTGTGGAAGGATGTAAAATTAGCATCTGATGCTTTATCCTGTTACCGTGCACAACACTGTTTTATGTTTTTCAGTAGCTGAAGTGGAACAGTGTTGGATGGCTTACTTGGCTCATAAGTTTGCACAGGTTGCCGGTCCTGCTCTCCTATGTTTAACGTCGCAGCCTACGCAGTTTTCTAAATGTGCCGATTTCAGTGCCGCCAAAATGTTCCTGAGGAAATAATACAACTTTTAAACAGTTCTTTAGTATTCAGGTGTCGTGTCTTTGGTGTTTCAGGTCATGGTCTTGCCACGCACAGGCCATGCTAAAGATCATTAACCACAAAGACGACGAGAAGTCATTCAGCCGCAGGATCAGTCACCTGTTCTTCCACAAAGAGAACGATTGGGGTTTCTCCAACTTTATGTCCTGGAGTGTAAGTACACAAACCTGTCAGAAATTAATGTACTGTTACTTTTGTCAAAGAAACAGTGGAATATTTTTGCTGTGAGTGTTGGTGGGGTCTTTTTTCTTCTCGCTCAGCAGTTACCACTTTGTTAACCGTTTGTTTGGGCCTGGTTGTATTCTTTCATTACTACAAATTGCTATTCTTAAAAAGATTAACTGTTTTGCAATGATGCATTTCAGGATGTGACCGATCCAGAGAGGGGCTTCATCGACGACGACAAAGTTACATTTGAAGTCTACGTCCAGGCAGATGCCCCACACGGAGTGGCGTATGTTGTGTTCTATTTGAGCCGTTTCTTTTTGTCTTTATAAACTATTTCCCATGTGCATTTTCTCTGTTCTGTTCAGGGTTTATGATTTATAACTAACTGAAGTTTTTCGTCTCTGTAACCAGCTGGGATTCAAAGAAACACACAGGCTATGTTGGACTTAAGAACCAAGGAGCGACCTGCTACATGAACAGCCTGCTACAGACACTCTTCTTCACCAACCAGCTACGACGGGTAAGGTTTTGTTTTGTGGCTTCTAATGACTGTGTGTGGCTGTGGCTGTTTTTCTTATCTGTTATAGGGTTCTTAACATAATAGATTTGATTATTTAAAATACCTTTAAACCCCCTGATTCTCAGCACCACTTTAAATAAGGTCATAAAGCTTTAAATTTTTCATCCAAGTAAGAATAACCAGGTTGTAATATGACATGAGGTAAACAAAGCTCTTAATTCTTGATATAGTAGTTCCACCTTTCAGGTGCTTGGTTAAATGAGTGGATCTTGTATATCGGCTTTCTTGTGTTTATTTCCCCCAAATGCGAAATATTTCCAATAGACATGCCTGCGGTTTTCTTTAGCCAACAAGCTCAGTTGTTAAGCTCTGCACTTGCCAACTTCCTACTGCCAAGAAAATGCTACTGACCCAGGGCGAATGAGATGAGTAAAGGGAAGAAGACGACGCTGTGGGCACCGCAGTGTGTGTCAACAGTCGGAGGGTTAGAAGGCGTCAATGTAATCAGTATTAAAACTAGAGGAAATGAGCATTGAAACAGTTTCAAATGTCATCGTCTACATATTGAAAAATATATATATATTTATGACATGCATATTTATTTATTTATTTATTTGTAACGTTCTACTATAGTTGCTGCTTTTGTTTCATTGCTCCCATGCTGGCCCTTTTAATTCTACGATCAAAGTGCTGTTCTTGAAATTTTCCAGTAGCATATCTGGAGTTTAAATATAGTAAATGTTTTCACAAAAATAGTCCAGTCAGCCTAAGATGATTAGTTTTATATAAAAGTTGTAATCCTGGAGCATCCTTATCCTTCCCAGGCGGTCTACATGATGCCCACAGAAGGAGATGACTCCTCTAAGAGCGTCCCCCTGGCACTGCAGAGGGTTTTCTACGAGCTGCAACACAGCGACAAACCGGTTGGCACCAAGAAGCTCACGAAGTCCTTTGGGTAAGTTAGGACTTGCGTAGAATATTATGTGTTGTAAGCAAAACTATTAGATCCTTGCATGCTTGACATGTGGGTCAACCATCAGAATTTTACAATAAGTGTTGTGATGGTTGGTCGTATTCTCTTACTTGAGTTTGTGTTTTTACGTGCAGGTGGGAAACACTAGATAGCTTCATGCAACATGATGTGCAGGAGCTGTGCAGAGTGGTGAGTTTCCTATACACCTTTAAAAAGGTCATGTATGCACGCTGGACAACAGCTGACAGTATTTACTGTTTCTGTGTGTGTGTGTGTGTGCACTGCAGCTCCTGGACAACGTAGAGAACAAAATGAAAGGCACTTGTGTTGAGGGAACAATCCCAAAGCTCTTCAGAGGAAAGATGGTGGTATGTCATCTCTCTTTCTCCGTCTCTTCCTCCTCTTAGCTGACTCGCCCTTTTAGTTATGGTCATATTTTGCATATCTTTTGTGCAATATTGTTCTTATGAGGGGAGATTTGTAGTGTTTATTTTGCTCAGTAATGTCTCTGCAGCACGTCTCGCACAGTAGATTCTGTAAACACAGCGACATGATGTAGGCTAACACAGCACAGGATGTAGCCTGGAACAAGGCCAGTTTAAGAATAGACTGAGGGTAAATCAAGATGTGACCCGATGAGAAATAATGTTTCTGACTCGCCTCTCATATCGTATAGTCTGACTCTGTGTGTGTGTGTCACTCTGCAGTCATATATCCAGTGTAAGCATGTGGACTACAGGTCCGAGCGGATAGAGGACTACTATGACATCCAGCTTAGCATAAAAGGAAAGAAGAACAGTGAGTAGCATAAATGTGGTGTTTTATTGATCAGTGGCACATTTGTCCTGCATGATCATGATTTTCACACACATATCAAAGCGGCGATTTTCTAAATTTAATCTTTGCTTCTTTCCAGTCTTTGAGTCATTCAAAGATTATGTGGCAACCGAGCAGTTAGATGGAGACAACAAATATGACGCAGGAGAACACGGGCTGCAGGTGAAGTATTTATGCAATTTGTTGGCTCTTGTTGCTTTCATGCTGTTGGTATTGAAGCAAATTGGACTAAAATGTTAGTTTTTATATGTCATTGTGAAAAAATATTTGGTGTTCCAAAAATTAGACGTGCTCAAATGGATCAGTAGGTTTCCGGTTTTTCTTGCCAAGCTACAGAAATATGTAGCTCTAAAAATAAGATCTGGAGCTTGTTTACCTGCCTTGTTTTGATATGGTTTAAATGAGCAGCCTAAAGCTGAAAGGGTTTATAATGGCAGGATTAATGTCAGTGGGATGTCCTCACCAGATGTCTGACTCATTTTTGTTTTGCGTCGCAGGAAGCAGAAAAGGGAGTGAAGTTCCTTACCTTCCCTCCGATCCTCCATCTGCAGCTGATGAGGTTCATGTACGACCCACAGACTGACCAAAACATCAAGATCAATGACAGGTAAGGAAAAAACAAGCTGATGCTTTAAAAATAGTTTTTGAAGTAAGGTTACCTGTGAATTACTGTGCAGAACGCACCCTGCTTAAAGTAGATCACTCCCCGTCACACAATGAGACAGTAACTGTGCTGCTCGAATGTAATTTTAGAGAAGGTCTGCTCCTTTGTAGCATAGGTTAAAGGAGGAATGTCACTTGAGCTTTACACTCGTGAAAAGCTTGCCCTGACCTCGCTTATTCAGACGGTGAGAAAAGAACCAAGATTGTTTTCTGTGCCATCAATCTGTGTACAGTTAATGGTGTTAAAAATAAAATCCAGCAGAAATAATGTGACACTTTTCGCAAACGCTACCATTTAACTTTCTGCTGTGCCATTTCGATAAGCTCTGACTCATCCTTGTGATGATGCTACAGTCAACTGGCATCCTGAGGGCTCTGTATACGTACACGGAGACACAGGTGTGGGTGTGGAATGACAATAGTTTTGAATATGCTCAAGTTTACTCTTGATTTCTTCCATTTTTATGCTACTTTTTGGCTGATATTTGACCCTTTTTGTATTAATCTACACATTGTTTTTTCATGTTTTTTGTTTTTTATTTCTACCTTTCCATTTTTTTAAATACTGCTGCTTACCTCATCCTTTTTTTTTTCCTTCTCAATTTCTTTGTCTCTAACGCCTCTCCATCTTTCTGTGCCCATTAGATTTGAGTTTCCAGACCAGTTACCTCTGGACGAGTTCCTCCAGAAGCCAGACTCAAAGGACCCAGCCAACTACATCCTCCACGCTGTGCTAGTCCACAGCGGGGACAACCATGGCGGTCACTACGTCGTCTATCTTAACCCCAAAGGAGACGGCAAAGTGAGTGTCAAGGATCCAATAGTGAGAACAATTTTTTTTTCTGCACTTTTCACCAAAAATGCTGTGGGGTGTGTGCTTTGGGATTCATATTTGTTGGGGTTTGTATGCTACTCAATGTAAAGAACAAAAATGAGTTTATGTTATGGAGGAATTCAGAGCTATGTTATCTTGGCTCTTGACCTTAAGTGTTTATTAATTACATACAGCTGCATGCATTAAGATTCAAGGGTTGAGAGTCAGAATAAGTGCTTCCCAGGTCTGCAGTGATAATTATACTGAAAATGACAGAACACACAAGCTTCCTGACAGGTGAGATGATATCACTTAATGTCAGAAAAGGGTTGTTTCACAATTTAGATGTTTAGTGGAATAAACGCTGTCAGAAAAGATGTGTTAGTGTAAAGAGTCGGATGTAAACACGAGCTCTCAGGTCAGACTCTTAATCTCATACTCATCGAGTAAACCCCTCTGATATGCACACATCAGTGTGATGTTACTTTAATTCTGCATTTGGGTTTGTGTGACAATGATTGTCTTAAGTGCTCTCTGGTTTTTCTCTTTTATCCCCTCCACTCCAATCCTTGGTGGTTGCCCCACCCCTACCTCCCCTCTGCTCCTCATCCTCCTCTGGCTTCCTCATCTCTGGCTGCGACCCCATCCTGCAATCACCATCTGTCTCCATCTATCATTCTGTCTCTTTCTGCAGTGGTGCAAGTTTGATGATGACGTAGTGTCACGATGCACCAAGGAGGAGGCCATAGAACACAACTACGGCGGACACGACGATGACCTCTCCGTCCGCCACTGCACCAACGCGTACATGTTGGTCTACATCCGTGAGTCCAAGCTCAGTAAGTAAACATCCGTCCTTCTTCACTCGTCATTTAAAAAACATCGGTATGAGAAACTGTCCCAGCAACACATGAAGGGTTCCTCTGAGCTGATGAGTGCAAATAAAATTCCTCTTTCACATGGAGGTGACTGTACTGAATAACTGTTGTACTAAATGATCACTTCTGCCGTTTTACCCACACTCAGGCGAGGTGCTCCAGCCGATGACCGATGTGGACATCCCCCAGCAACTGGTGGAGCGTCTGCAGGAGGAGAAAAGGGTGGAGGCACAGAAAAGGAAGGAACGCCAAGAGGCTCACCTCTACATGCAGGTCCAGGTAGGGAATCGGAGGTTATTTAAGCGCTCTGTGGTGCTTTGATACTTTGCGATCAAAATACTTGGGTGGCTGAATAATTTAGTATACAGCACATGAGAAACCTACAGTGTAGGAAGTACAGGAGAAAATTGAAGCTGTGTTTGTGGATTTCAGGTAAAGCCACATTTGTGTCGAAACACCACACCTAGCAGCCTGTGCCGTTTTACACCGTCATACTGTAATCTGGATGGTGTGGTGTTTATTGCTTAAGGTGTGTAAAGGTGCAGGATTATTTATTCATATTAATCAGTGTATTTGTTCTGTTGAAGCTCGAACTTGAACCCAATAAAGTCGACCTCCATAAGAGGCCTGACACAAACAGCTTAGTTCGTCAGAAGCTATGCAAAGTATAACATCGTGCACCTTTAGACGGGGCAGATATGTTTCATAGGTGGATGAATGCTGGATTTCAGTGCGATAAGAATGAACTGTTTTGCCTTTTTAAAACGAGTAGATGACGTTCAGACATTTATGTTGGATCGGATCGTCGGGCTAACGACGGGCCGGAAAACGGAAGCTTCTTCTTTCTGTCAAGCAAAGTGTTCGAGTGTTTTGTTGGACTCTGTGTAACCTACAAGCGGCACGCACAACTGCAGGTGTTCTTGCTCTGGTTTGGCGGTCTCTGTGTGGTTGAGATGGGGGAGAAGAGCAGTCAGTGATAATGAGGAAATGGCTTGTTAAATGATAAAGGTTTACCCTTTTCAGCTCTGACTTACTTACTTGTTCGAGTATTAAAGCAGCACAAAGGCTAATTACGCTCATTATTTTCCTCTGAAGAGGTGATAAGCGTAACATTTAAATGCTGTAATGAGGCTGTGTGAAACTTTGCTTTGCACTTTGCCTGTAAGCCATCAGAACTGACACCTCATTAAAAGTCTTAGCAGTGGAGCACCCCTCTAAACAGAAAGCTCTACATAATTATGATTTCTTTTGTGTGTGTGTGTGAGAGACAAGCAGATTGCTTAGACAAAAGCTTAAAAGACTTTTGATGCTGTTAGCTACTGACTGCTGCAGTGAAATGTCACCACCAGTGTGGATACAAAGAATGAAGCTCTTGCTTTGTCAAGATCTAGAGATAACTTGGGTGTGGGGGAGTGAGTTTTCATTGCATGAAGTCTTTAGTCTCTTTTTTTCACATTTTTGTTGTTGGTCCAGTTATACTAATGCTGTTCATCTTCCTTCTCTGGGCAGATGGTGACCGAGGACCAGTTTTGCGGTCATCAGGGCAACGACATGTACGACGAGGAGAAAGTGAAGTACACGGTCTTCAAGGTCCTGAAGAGCTCCACGCTGCAAGAGTTTGTCCAGAACCTCTCCCAGACCATGGTGAGGCATCTGTGGGACTGTATGCTCTTTGATAGTGATGGATATTTGGATGAAATTTCTAACTTTTTTTTATTAAAGAATAAAATAAACCATTTAAGATTAACTGCGGAGAGTTTTAGTTTGTAGATTTCAAGATGCATGAAATGTTTAGTCAGTAAACTTATCTTTCATCAAAGTAACTTGTGCTAGGTGGAAGTTTAATATTTGTGAAAGAAACCGCATTCACGCACATGCTGCGTCTCAGGTTCACGCTCTGACCCCAGGCTGAAAGAGAGGGCTTGTTAGCTTGTCAGTGCGGAGCACACGTGTACACACACTTGCTTAAATTCTGGCTCCCTGCGGTTGATCAGTAAATACCAGTTGGAAATTTTAGTCTTGATGTCTTTTTCTCAACACGTTTCTGCTTTTCCCACATCTTATACGCAAATTGAAACTTGTGTATTGATGTGCCGCAGGGTTTTCCACAGGACCAGATGAGGCTCTGGCCCATGCAGGCCCGTAGCAACGGAACCAAGCGACCTGCCATGCTCGACTACGAGGCCGATTGCAACAAGTCGGTAGGTGTTTGCGCCGTGACACACATCTTCAAAAATTCCTGTATACTTTAGCCAGTTTTTGCATTAAAACAATGAAAGAAAGCTGCCAGTGGACCAGAACAACTGTGCTAAGATCAGTTCAAAAATATGCAAGATTTAGAGCGTGGGTGTGCTTTTATCCCTTAATAGTGCACTGCATAACTGCCAGGGAAAACAAGGTCCTTCTAGAAGGAACTATCACTCCCTGAATTATTTTTTTTATGAATCATTATCTAAATTGAGTTTAATTTGAATCCCTGGATAACTACTCCATGTATGGAATCACCTGTCAAAGCTCTCTCTTTTTAAAAAAATAAAATAAAATTTAAAAAAAATCCTCTTTTTTTTTCTTTACAAGTTTTCCATATAATGCATCAGTTTTATGTCACTTTAATTCCTGGGACCACCCCTGAGTTTATGACTCAGTTAAATGTAACATAAGAAACTTTTTTTATTTTAAAGATTTGAACATTTTTGTGTTTCAGATGATCGACTTGAGTGACAATGAGAACCCCTGGACAATATTTTTGGAGACTGTAGATCCAGAGATGGCAGCCAGTGGGGCCACGTTACCCAAGTTTGATAAAGACCGTAAGTTCTCCATCCATCGGCGCTCATCATCAGACTTTGAGTCTTAGTGGTTTCTTTTTTCTAAACTTTTAAAATATCATTTTTGTAGAAAACCTGTTCTTCAGGTGTCAGTCTCTGATTCCACTTACATAGCTCCCTGCGTTGGTACAGTGTAGATAAGAATAATCGACACAATGCCTTAGCGGTCACAGTCATAAACATAGAGTACCAGTTACTCAATAACATAGTTACTGATCGGTTTGAATGTTGATGAGTCTGTTCTGAGTGTTTATGATTATTAACACTGTGTTTAGCTGCTGATTAAAGGCTCTGGCATGCTACTGTTTGTAGTGCGATGTTGTAGCTGCCTGCTGCCACTTGGGCTCAACGTCAGAAACATGCGGGGAAAACGCAAATGTAGTTTACGTGGTGTTGGTGATCCTTGTGGTTTGTGAAAAACAACTTTCATAGTGGAACTAAGTGAACCCGAAGGTTAAAAATACTAGAACTGCAAACGCTTGGACGTATCTCTTTGTTTCTCAGTTCGCTCAATCTTTTCCTTTGCATAGCTGTAGAACTGCACCAACAGACACAAATGCAGAACCATAAGTGGCGTTTTGTGCTTTGTTTAGTGTTTCAGTTGAACAATATTTATGCAAATTGAAGCTATACTGCTCCTCAACCACTTCTTTGGCAGGCGTGTTGTATAGCTGCTGATTTCACCTTGCCCTGTTTTGTTTTGTTTTTCTCTTCTAGATGATGTCATGTTGTTCTTGAAGATGTATGACCCCAAAACCAGAAGCTTAAATTATTGTGGACATATCTACACACCTATATCCTGCAAAATAAGTAAGTGTGACTCTGTTATAACCTCAGTACCCTGTCATAAGGTGCAGTGTATGAATTCTTCGTCTGCAGTGAACGTAAAGATTTTGAGATTTTTCTCTGCTTCTCTTTTTGCCCTCTAACCAGGAGACCTGCTGCCAGTCATGTGTGAGAGAGCAGGATTTCAGCAGGAAACTAGCCTTATCCTCTATGAGGTGATCTATTTCTGTGACGCCCAGTCGCTGACACACTCCTGTCTCTTTCTCACTTGCTACCTCACACTCTCACATTCTCAGGCTCCTCTATCTGGCACAGAAGCTGTGTGTCAGGCTCTCCTGTGCACACTTGCACACTGTCATATGTAGGCCTTGGTGTTAATACATCTGCCACAAAAATAAATACTCTCTTGCACTTAGCAGATAAATTGACTGCATAACCCCCGATGCTTGGTGTGTTACAGGAAGTAAAGCCCAATCTAACAGAGCGGATACAGGACTATGATGTCTCTCTGGACAAGGCCCTGGACGAGCTCATGGACGGGGACATCATTGTCTTCCAGAAGTAAGTTGTTTTGGGGGGGGTTTTGGCACTTGTGCTTTGAGAAATCTGCCAAATTGATATCTTGGTGCGTTTCACATTGGGAGCTTTGCCAGATTATAAGAACTTCCCGAGGTCGACACACTTCACGTTGCCTTCATTTTAAATGTCTCTCTTTGATGACGCTCTGGTTGAGAAATTGTTGTAGAACTTGTTAGCTTTACTTGTTATGTCTGTGCCCTCATTTACTTCTTGACCTGCTCTTTCTGTCCTTGAGCTCTACCTTCACTTCACTCACACTTCCCTCTGTCACATTGATCTCTGTTTTCCCGTCATTACAACACAACCCGTACCTCAAACTGTCTTTCCAACCTTTCTCCAACACCACAGGGATGACCCAGAGAACGACAGCAGCGAGCTGCCTACGGCCAAGGACTACTTCCGGGATCTCTACCACCGGGTGGACGTCATTTTCTGCGACAAGACCATCCACAATGACCCCGGCTTTGTGGTCACACTGTCGAACCGCATGAACTATTTTCAGGTACGATCGGTTGAGGTTCTTTGGATGAATATTGATTTACTCAAAAATACTCACGTGAAGCTGTCGAGTCATTATACGAAGACTGATTTATTTATTTTTTGCTGCTACTGTTAATCCAGGAGTGGATTTCTGCTGCCCCCCCACCCCCTCCACCTGCTAGCATGAAATTTGATTGACAGGTGAAATCTGACAGGCCCGTCATGAACTGTCTGTTTTTGTGTTTGTCAGGTGGCTAAGACTGTAGCGCAGAGGTTGAACACAGATCCCATGCTACTGCAGTTCTTCAAGTCACAGGGGTAGGAGGCTTGTCTCATCCACACACACACACTGCATTCTTCGTAAATGTAGTAACAATAACAGTGCATAATAGTGATTGTCTTTCTTTCTTTTTTCTTCTTAAGCCGTTGTTCTCACTGTAAGCCAAAATATGGCATTTATAGTCAGGAAAAATGCAGTTAAGGGCTTTGAAACAACGCTGAACATGAAGTCAACTACAAGGGAGAGAACTTTAGTTCTTGCTTTGCACATAACTGAGTAATTATGCTTTTGCTGTAGCATAATTATCCCTTTTTTGTGGTTTTGACAAAAAAAAGGTTATACTAAACAAAGGCTTTTCCTGCATAGAGGGACTGTGACAAAATGTTTCTGACCGGTTTTGTTGTTTTTGGTGTTTTATTTACTGAATCGTGTTATGTTGCTTCTTAATCTGATGGTCAGAAAGAATAGGAAACCACATGGATTTGGGCCAAATAACTGACTCATCACCTTCACTGTACGTTGATCGATCTCGCCGACGTGCGTAGTCATCTCCCAGAAGGCTCATTTGGAGCCAGGAAAATCTGCTAAAGACGGCCTGTAGTTTAATGAATAATGCAGTGTTGTTTCAAGGCTGCTTTTTCCTAAATAACTCAAAATCCTGTCATTCTGTTTGACATGTAGAAAGGAACATGTAGACCACGTTTGAATGGTGTTGTGACTCGTAGCTTTTGTCAGGTTTGCCTTTGATTTGATTACTTGCAGTTGTCAGTAGAAATGTTGCATAACCTGTCCCCCCTCCACCTGTCTTCTGTTGTTTTTCCTCCTACTCTTCCCTCTCCCTCTGTGCTTCTTTTTTTTTCGTCTTGCTCTGCTGTTCACCTCCACCTCTGCTTCTTTGCTTCTTTTCCTCCCATTTTTCTTTCTCTTCTCCTTCCACCCTTCTTCCCTCCCCTTTGTTGTCCTCCCCCCCTGCCTGGTGGTGTGGTGGCCAGGTACAGGGACGGTCCAGGGAATCCTCTCAGACACAACTATGAGGGAACGCTGCGGGACCTGCTGCAATTCTTCAAGCCTCGGCAGCCCAAGAAACTCTACTACCAGCAGGTAGGACTGGTTTGTCTACTTTTTCTGTGTCAGGATTTCAAGTTTCTTTGTTCTCTCTTTCGAGTAAGATAACTGGCGTTTCCCCTGAAAAGGAGCTCAGTGTTTCATAGTGCCGGTAATAATTCTGGTAATCTTAAATGTCTTTTTGTCTTTCCTCCGTTATAAAATATAAAATGCTGTCTGATAGAAAACAAAGTCATTGGGGTAAAAATGTTTTATGACTACCTGAACTTTTAACACACAAACAGTTGTGAGAATTTTTTTATTTATTTCAAATCTTTCCTGCAAACCAGGAACGAGTTACATCCTCAGGTGGATGACTTATCTCAGTGTCTTGTTCATGAGCGACGGGGATTTGTATCTTGATCTACGTCCCTACTCTCACCTACGTCACGAGCTTTGGGTAGTGACCAAAAGAATTAGATCATAGATACAAAAGGCAGAATTTGCTTTCTCTGAAGGTTGGCTAATTTCTCCCTGAGAGAAAGGGTGAGGGGTTCAGCTATTTGAAAGGAGAGCCGCTGCTCCTCCATGTTGAAAGGAGCTAGTTGAGGTGGTTCGGGCATCTGACTGTGATGTCAGATTGAGGTGTTCATGTTACACAGGGTAGACCCACAACACACGGGGGAGACCACATTTCTCAACTGGCCTGGGAACGCTTTTGAGTTCCCCTGGAGGAGGTGGCTCGGGGAGAGGGAGGTCTTGGTTTCTCTGCTTAGGCTGCTGGCCCAGTGACCCGGCCCCAGATAAGCAGAAGAAAATCGAAGGCCACATCCTACGAGTCCACAAAAGGAGTAACTTTGTTTTTGCCTCTCTCTTTTTCTCCATTATGTATTCCCAGTTAAAGATGAAGATAACAGACTTTGAGAACAGGAGGAGTTTTAAATCCATATGGCTCAACAGCCAGTTCAGAGAGGAGGTACGACACTCAAAAAACCCAAAAACCTTTACATGAGGAAAAATGTTTCTGTGATTCAACCATAGACATGAAACTGTTTCTTGTGTTGCAGGAGATTACTCTTTACCCTGACAAGCACGGCTGTGTGCGGGACCTTTTGGAAGAATGTAAAAAGGCTGTGGAGCTGTCTGAAAATGGCTCTGAGAAGCTCAGGTATCCATCTGTGTTTGGCTTGCTTGTCTTCCTCTCAGTGGTTGTAGTCAGAACTTTTAGACAGCTGCTCCAGCTGTTCTGCCGTACGGGGAGTTTGCATCTGATGGTAAACTCAGTTAAAATGAAAAAATCGAGCACACTATGGTCCGTTTTAGCTTTTTGAACATCATCTTTGACACTGGGCAAATCACTAGAGATTGAGTGCTTGTTGTTGTGGCCTAGACCGTCTGTAGTGAAGTTTATCACTTTAGTTTTCCTCTCATCTTGATCCAGGTAACATTTTGGCTTTTGTTTAACCCCTTTGATTTGGTTTTTTTAATCTAATCCTAACCACGTGCAAAATGTGTGCTGCTTCTCCTTTTTTTTTTTTTTTTTTTTTTTTTTTTTTTAAAACACTTTTCACAAAATTATAGTCTGACAATTACAACGCTCACAGCAACCGCAGCCTGCACAGCCCCATTTCATTCTGTAAACCTGCTCTCTGTGACTGCACTGGCACCTTTCCCTTTAGTTTTGTTGAATTTCTTGTTTTCCCTGGTGTGATGTCCGAATCAGATTTTGCTGCATTTGAGAAGCTCCTGCAGAGCGTTAATGCCTCCTCCCTCGTTCTCCCTCTGCAGGCTGTTAGAGATAGTAAGCTATAAAATCATCGGAGTTCACCAGGAGGACGAGCTGCTAGAATGTTTATCTCCTGCTGCCAGCCGCACCTTCAGAATAGAGGTGAGTGTTTATGCGAGGCGTTGCCTGTTCAGCACGTTTCACCGTGTCGTTTATTTTATGTTAACCGCTTAACTTCCACTTAACACGCCGTCAGGCCGACACTGTATTTTTGCCCTCGCAGTCAGTCAGTTAGCAGTAGAAGTATGACTTCTTCATGCTTGTTAAAGGTTAAATACCAAGCTTCTGGCTCAGTTTTCTCTGTAGCTCTTGCGTCATTACATCACGTTAAAAACTTTGACCACCAGGTGTCGGTAAAAACAGTTGGTTTATTTTTAAATTTTATAGTCAGTGGTTTGATCTGAGCTTATTTTCTTCCTTCATCTCTCTTGTGCTGCTTGGCTTTTTCAGGAGATTCCTTTGGACCAGGTGGACTTGGATAAGGACACTGAAATGCTAATCCCTGTTGCTCACTTCCATAAGGAGGTCTTTGGCACCTTTGGGATTCCCTTCTTGCTCAAGATCAGACAGGTGTGTGTTTTTTGTTTATTTGTACCAGTAAACATTTATTTTATTTCCTCTTGACTCACTGCCATCCCATTCTCCTCTGTGCAGGGTGAGTCGTTTCGGGAGGTGATGAGGAGGATCCAGACCATGCTGGACATCCAGGAGAAAGAGTTTGAGAAGGTAGGTCGTCGTTGGTTTGCTTCTTCTTAAACAGCGTTCTCCTGATGCTGAAATAATTAAAGCGTTAACAAGGGGGGTAGTTTAACCATCAGATGTCTGTCTCTGTGTTTTCAGTTCAAGTTTGCAATTGTGATGATGGGTCGGCATCAGTACATCAATGAGGATGAGTACGAGGTCAACCTGAAGGACTTTGAACCACAGCCAGGTATTTACTGCCTGCGGTGCTACTGGGAGCGATACCAGTGTAACTCCTGCTGTTACTGATACTGCACCGATTGAACGACATCAGGCTACAGCCAAACACAAAAATAAAACAAAAGCATGAAACTGTGACAGTGCCTCGTCGTGCACCACTTCAATGTCACGGCTGCTCATATTTATACAAGTTTATCCACCTAATAATGAACTTTAAAGACCTTTTATGTACACTCACTGGTCACCTTGTTAGGTACACCTTGTGTTAGTACTGGGTCGGATCTGCTTTTGCCATCAGAGTTGCCTTCATTCTTTATGGCACAGATTCAACAAGGTGCTGGAGATATTCCTCAGATACATTGACATGACAGCTTCACACAGCTGCTGCAGATTTGTGGCTGCACATCCATGATGTGACTCTCCCGTTCCACCACATCCCAAAGGTGCTCTGCTGGACTGAGATCTGGTGACTGTGGGAGTTATTTGAGTAAAGTGAACTCATTCACATTCAATAAAGTAGTTTGAGGTGATTTGAGTTTTGTGACATAATTTGCTGTCCTGCTGGAAGTAGCCATTAGAAGACGAGTACATGGTTATAAACATGGTCGGCAGCAATACTTGGCGAGGCTGTGGTGTTTAAATGATGCTAATTTGGTACTAATATCCCCCACACCACTAAACCCCCACCAACAGCCTGAAGTGTAGATAAAAGGCAGAATGGATCCATGCTTTTATTCTGTTTTTGCCACATTATACCATCTGAATGTCACAGCAGAAATCAACTTCAGACAAGATGGTTTGATCTTTTGTGGTCCAAATTTTGCAAACCTTTACAAATTGTAGTCTCAGTTTCCTGTTCTTAGCTGACAGGAGTGCCACCTGGGCTGGTCTTCTGCTGCTGTAGCCCATCTGTTTCAGGCTATGACAATCAGAGATGCTCTTCTGTAACCTTGGATGTAACGAGTGCTTATTTGAGAGAGAACTGCTCCCCTGTTTACTTTTTCGGACCGTCCTCTGTAAACCCCAGCGATGGTTGTGTGGGAAAATCCCACCAAATCAACAGTTTCTGAAGCACTCAGTCTGAAACCAACAACCATGCTACATTCAAAGTCCCTTAAATCACCTTTCTTCCCTGATTTTGAATTTGAACCTCAGCAGGTCACCTTCATCATGTCTGCATGGCAAAATGCACTGAGTTGCTGTCATGTGATTGACTGATTAGGTGTGTGTGTGTGTGTGTGCAAACAGTTACACAGGTGTACCTAACAAAGCGGCTGGCAAGTGTATTTCTAGTATTTACCACACTGCCTTTCCAGTGATTCTTCTACAAATGTGACACGGCACCTCTGGTTTTTTGTTCACTGCAGCAGTGATTGGTTCTTATTTGTAATGTAACTGCATCAAAATGGCCAAAAGCTCCCCTGCAGTCGATAGTTTTGATGTGTGTAGCCCAACCCAGTCACCAGAATCATTAAAACTGGACTTTATTTTCTTCACGTTCCTAATATTGGCCGGTGTGTCAGCGACACCTGAGATTAATGTCGATGTCACGCGGGCTACAGAAATACTCCCACTGCTCCTGTTACTGTTCATGTGATTTCTGTACTGCAGGTGGCGCTGTCACTCCTCCTAATGGCCTCTCTGATGTGTCTTCCTGTGCAGGTAACATGTCCCACCCGCGCCCCTGGCTAGGGTTGGATCATTTCAACAAAGCTCCAAAGAGAGGTCGCTACACCTACCTGGAGAAAGCAATCAAGATCCACAACTAAAGCAGCCCCCACCCCCACCTTCTCCCCTGGTCCTCCTCATCCTCTCCTGCTCCGCCTTCATCCCTACCTACTTTAACAAACCATAACCACAGACTGTAACCAACAACCGTGTGTGTGTGTGATTGTGCGTGAGAAAGACTGAGAGAGAGTGTGTGTGTTCATCACTTCACCCCGCCTGGACACCTCTACAGCTCTACACCGGCACTATGTCTTCAGTGATTGGGATCTTGCTGCAGCTGATGGATTATTCAACCACAAAATAAACCGCACCAACCACTGACTGTTTATTTTGTTGTACATTTTATTTCTTTTCCCTTTTTTCCCCCTTTTTTAAAAATCGTCTCCCTCCACGTTTGAGGCTGTTCGGTTATTTTTTCTGGCTTGTCTGCCTGTTGACTGCTTTTTGTTGCCTGTTCAGAAATGGGAGACGTGTAATTGGATTTTATGGTTTAAAAAAAAAAATTAAGAGGAATCCCGACACAGTATAGCATATAATATGTATGCTATATATAAATATTTTCATATATAAATATGAACTTCTAGGCTTAGTTCTCACTTCCACCTCATTTACAGCTTTTTTTTCCCCTTCACAATTTTTGTGGGGTTGTTTTTAAATAAAGTTGTTCAAAGGGGCGTCACACTGCTGTGCGCAGAGGTCAATGAGTGTGCTGTTTGGAGGACTGACTCGCAGAAAATGATGGAGACATGCAGTCGTTTTAAAATTATTAATAATTTTTGCAAAAGCAGCTGCGGGCTGGCGTCCACCCTGAAGTTCTCTGGTTTGCTCTTATGATGAGGTTTCCTTATATTTTCTGCTCCCATCCCTATAGAGCAACAAAAATCAGTATTTCCAAGTTTACACTCAAGTTCTCTTTTCCACTTAGTTTGGTTGGAGGGAAAAATTAATTTTTTTGTCTCTTTCTGCAAACCTTGTATTATTAAAAACAGAAAAATCTGCAAAACAGAATCTGTTTAAAATAAATGGGGAAAAATACGATTTGTCTGTATTTCCTCTTGAACGTTGGAAATTAATCTTAGAAGTTTCTCAGGTCTGGCAAAAGTACTTTGTTTTCTGATTGTGAGTTGCTCGGTAACATTCACACACACAGACACGCACAGATATGTGTTACCTCCCTGATGACTTCCTTTTTAGTTTTCTGGGGGGTTACTAAAGGTTTGTCCCCCCCTCCCCTCCTCTCAGTCATTCCTCTTATAAAACACACACACACACACAAGCTGCAACCTCTCTTCTTTCTTGATTGAATCTGTCGCCCCCTGGTGGTTGGGAGCAGTAACTGCGCTGTGCTTGGTAGGGAGCTGCAGACACTTAGAGCCCCACTGGTTTGAGGATTGTTTGGAGACAAAAAACCAGCATTGTAAGAAACACTTTAAGCCCTATGAATTTCTTTTTTCTTTTGTTAATTTCAGGTTTTGTTTTCTTCTCTTTCTTTTAAAGCACAGATGGAATGCACCCCTAATAGCGCATAGCTGGCTCTGTACAGACAACATTTAAGAATTGTATATTTAAAAATATGAACGTGTAAAATTTAAGAGAAACACACGCCTTTGTTGTTGGGTACAGAAGGAGCCAGGTGTTCATATTTCTTGTGTGTAGGTTTCTTTTTTGTTTGTTTGTTTGTTTTGCGTTCCTGATGTACCATTGACAGGTTTTTCCCCTTTTTTTCCTTTTGGTTTTTTTTCTTTTAAAAACTAACTGCATTGGTTTGTCTTGTTAAGAAGTGCAGTACAGAGATGACCTGCAGAATCACACCTTAATTTGATCTTTTCCACTTTAAAATCCTCAGTGTAGCAGCAGTGTACGACAACTATTCCTGTATATTGCCTTTTTGCTGGAAAATGTATGTTGAATAAAAATTTTCTATAAAAACAAATAGACGCACCTCTGCTGCTTATCCGTGCCAGTGTGCGACCTGCGATTCCCGGTATTTGCCAAAAAATGATTGCAGAAATTTAAGCTGTTATAAATGACTTGACCTCAAATCTGTCAAAAAGTGGGTCAATCATATCTCTCATGAAGAATATCAAGTAATGTAGAGCCAGAAATGACAAGTGACTTTTACATATCCTTTATTTTTTTCTGGGTAAAAAGTGACATTAACATTTAAAAGTGTTTTTCAAGATCGATCTAGCCAAGAGGGCAGCAGAAATTGTAAAAAAAAATATAACCTCACACTTCTATGAACTTACTTGAAGTGACGAAAAAGGACTGGACTGATGACAATATGAGTACAATCATGATAAGTCATAAAGATACTTCAAAAATAGGTAATTTCTCTTTTTTTATATACAACCTCCTACCTAAATCCTGTTCACTACAGTCTGATTACTAATATAAGTAAATATATTAGATGTAAAAACACATAAAAACATTGGTCTATTTCTTTTTGTTTTATTTGATATAAATCACAAAATGGTTTGTTTTAGAGAACTGGTGCAGTGGGGGCAGGAACAATATGATGAAATGAACAGAGGTGTCATTGAGGATATTAGAAATATGATGAGGAGACTGTTTGTCTCCATAGTGCTCAACCTGAGCTGTCCCTCTGATGTACTCATTTCTTTTATTGGGACAGGGCAGTGGGGAGAGAGGATCGGGGAAGAAGCAGCATATGTTCGCCTCTGTTCCCTTCATGCATGTCCACTGAAGTCTACTTCACTCACCACTGTGGTCACTCTACTTCATCAAACTTACTCCACAATTCACCTTTCTCCTCCACCTGATATCCAACCTGTGAGGCATATAAGTTGAGAGCAAGCGTTTTAGGTCTGTGTCAAAGGTGAGATATTTAAAATAGGAGCTATTAGTGATCACTTTGTACACACCACCAGTGGTAGCACAGTGGAGTCTGTGCGGGCATGGGCAGATGGGGAGGGGGCTTGAGCACCTGCCTCTTTCCTCTTGGATCCCTCAAGTTCCCTCTTCTTCAGGTATTGTTTTTATGTGCGTGTGCTTGTGGAGTCCTGCCTGAGCCCCTCAACAATAACATTTAAATATTAATCACACTATTAATCACATTTTTTCTTAATAAAACGATACGGCTTGTATCAGTCACATTATGAACATTAACATCACAGAAATCATTTTCTAAAAAAGGCAGACAGAGTGCGCTGTTCCTGGTTGGTAACCATGGCTGTATCCCAATTCAGGGTCTGCAGCCTTAACGGTCCTCAAGGGCCGAAGTGGGAAGTGCGAGGCTTGTAGGCTTGTGAAATGGGACGGTCTAGCCTCTGTCGCGCTGCCCAAACCAAACGCTGGAAACATTTCATACAGCTTTGTGTGACAGAAATGAAGGAGAACATATTTTGTTTTTTTGTTTGTTTGTTTCTACATGAGCTTTGTGTGATTTGATAAGTATCTGAGGCTGAGACCACAGGACTGTAAAACATGATTGTTGGGCTTCATTTCTGTACTGAACAGTCATTTTAGGATTAGTTAGTAAATAACAATTAGCTAATGTTGTTCATGAGACTAAAGTCATCTCACTTTGGTAATGTAAATATAATATGGCCAATATTATATTTACATTATTAGTTATTACAGCAGTGAACTTGAACTCTGTGTCAAATACTGAGCTTCAGTAAACATTCAAGTTGCAGTTATTTATATTTGCTATCACCTTAAATCTTCACTCAAAGACAAGTATCTGTGACAGTGTATCTATAGATGTATTATATATAAGAGACAAATGTTGTTCGTTTATTATGTTGGCATTATTACATTTGGCTCAGTGCTTACATATATGTGTAAAAAGAAAATGTACGAGCTGTGATAACTGTTTCTGACAGAATGAAGAGTAGACTGATATATGAAATATTCCTTTATTGGGTGAGAAAATCAGACCATGTCATAACTGCTTTCAGTCATACAGAATAGATATCAGAGCCTTAAACAGGCTGACTTCTGGTAATGGGTCAAACCACATAACATCCTTATAGAATATGATGTAACACTATAGATCAACTTACCTCAGAATATATTAAGTCAGCTTTGACAAACAAATATGATCGACTGTTTCTAGTAGAATTCCCAAGTTGTCATCTTGTACCCTCTCAGAGCCCTGTATGCTTGCAGAGACCCCTACAGTAGGGAAACATGCAAAACGGTGTCCAAACCTTTGTATTTTAGCTTTATTTATGTCTTACACAGCATCCCAACTCTTTAGCTAACTTAATAACTTTAGCTAAAGTGAATAGTTAGTCTAATTCATTAGTGCAGCATTACTGGATCACCTCTGTTTGAAGTGATATAATATGATATACAACTATCACTGAAACAGCAAACTTTGTAACTAAACAAACAACACTTCTTATTCTCTAAATGTTTGACTACAGCTGTAGATTACACTATCAGTGCTTGTTCACTCTTGACAATAATCACATTTTTAAATTCTCTTTGTGCATTTACAGGTAAACAATATCTAATATTTTATCTAATTGACTGCTTTGTCTTTGAAAAGGTGAAGAGCCTGAGGCCGGTGACAGTCCAGTTCTACTCTAAGTACATCCTTACGGTGGCTCACAGGACAAGGCTACATTCCTGTCCTGCCATAAGAGAAGAGAAACTTCAGAGTCACACCTGTCATATTTCGTATGACAGGGGTCTTAAACTCCAGTCCTCATGAGCCGGTGTCATGTCATTGCACCAGGGACCATGTGTCCCTGGTGCAACACACCTGAATACAATTAGTAGGTCATTAGCAAGAGTATAGAACTTGACTGCATGCTGAGGCGGCAACCCCTAATCCTACTCAAGTAAATTTAAGTAAATGTATGTATTTGGAAACATACTTCTAAAAATACTTTTATTGCACCATGTTCATTTACTCATGAGCTGCTGTAACATGAATCAAATGGCTGAATTGCCAACTCAGCAGGTAGTCAAGTTCTATATTTGCTAACGACCCATTAGGTGTGTTGCAACAGGGACACATGGAAAAGTTGCAGGACAGCGGCCCTCGAGGACTGGAGTTTGAGACCCCTGCCGTATGGTGTTCATGCAGTTTTCTACCCCACAGTTACAGCATGTCTGACTGCCTGTTCAGCATATGCAAAAATATATGATGAGTTTAAGCATGTGATGACAAAGGCCTTCCATTATGGTGTTTGTCATCACATGTCACAGACATCTTGATGATCATTTGGAATAAACAAAAAACTAAAAACTTGTTACTTCATCTTTTATCTTTATTATTATTATTGTTCTTATTTTACATTTTTCATTGTTAGGCATTAGGTTTATTTGTAGTAGTCATTTCCAACTTCTTTCCCTCTTCCATGTTACTGTGTCAGCTTGTCAGCATCTATTTGGGGTTGGGAGTGGAACAGAAAGTAAGTAAATCCAAAGTGCCATTAAAACCAGGAGAGGTTCTTATATTTCAGAAGAAGGGATTAATTCAAAAGAAATGACCTCAATGCCATATTTTATTTAGGAAACCTAGAGAGCACTTTGCAAAATAACACATTCTTATAATTTCACCCTCAGATGAGCCAAGCTACGACTGTCAGGGAAGGTGATGTAGGTACAGAGCATGTGAGAGTGGTTAAGTTAATGTCTCTTGTCTAGATGAAGGCACAAGAGGGATCAATGGCAAGGCGTAGAGATTCAATATTTTCAGTCTTCAGTGGACACTCCCTTTCTGGCACAAAACACCTGTAAAAGATGGTTGATTTAGGAGGTGACCCGACAACTTCAGCCTGTCAAACATAGCAATGGAGTAGTATGTTAATTAAGCATGCACTCAGTACCCTAAGAATTATTATGGTAGTTAAACACAGTGAGGCCCAGATAGCAAGGAATCAGCTGTTTAATCCTAATGGGCAGCTTATGTCTTATTTTAGAATTCTTAAACACCTATACATTTCCAGCCACACCCAAAGAATATGCCATATTATTTGATGCAATACCTACGGGTATTATAATACTTTTTAAAGGTATTCAACCTTGCATATCATCTGTTTCTCTCCCCAACCATTTGGATTCACACATAGGAAGAATCTGTCTAACAAACCATAGTAAAAGTAATAAGAATATTTGTGCTTTGTTCCAGACAGAATCTCTAACTATTGCACATGTGGTATCTTATTGGAATTCCTTTGTCAGTGACATTAACTGGAAAAGAGTATGGACAATTCCAAACAAGTAACGAATAAAGTGAAGGAAGTCTCATTTAAAATACTGCATAAATTTTATCCTGCTAATCATTATATGACAAAGTTCAAAAGGGACATAAATGTGAACTGTGGATTTTGTGGAAGCCATCCTGAGACTGTGCAGCACCTCAGGATCTGTTCATACGCTAGAACATTTTGGAAAGACTTCAGTATATTCATTGCTGGACATCTCTATAAAGACTTTACTGTGAAATGGGAAAATGTTGTATTTTGTTTCTTTCGAAGGCAAGAAAAAAAAAAGATGTTTACTTTATAATAAACTTGTTAGTTATCTTAGCTAAATTTTATTTTCACAAATGCAAATACAGTAACCAAAAGCCTAATTTTAAACATTACTATAATGATGTTTTATGTTAAATAAAATTGATTCGTGGATCACTTAACAAAAAGGCTATGAAAACTATTACTATTTGTAGTAATTACAAATTATTTGAATGTATGTAATTCTTTGTATTACACCCCCTGGCATATGTTAATTTTGTTCTGGTTGTATACATGTTCTGTATACATGTTCTCAATAAAGTTAAAAAAAAAAAGCGTGCGGTCGCTATGCGGACACAGCAAGGATCTTTCCAACAACCCTTTCCACAATAAAAGATCTTAATGTGGGTGTGGGGCAGAGGAACTCCACTTGCAGCGCGTCACTGCCACCCCGCCCCACACCATGCACTTGCAGCGCGTCTATGTGATGTTAAAAAGAGGTCTCACTCTTCCAAACATCTTTGCCCGGCTGCAGAACTGTCGTACTCAATCTGTACTGAGAGAGAGAAAATGTTGCGGGGGGGGGGTGTAATCAAACTTTTCTGCTCTCTCTGGTTTGAGACTTAATGCTTAATGACGAAATTGTCATCACTCCGACCCGAGCGGACTCTGGCGGACTCACAGACTCAGAAAGTAAGAGCTGGCTTGAGAGAGACATCTTGATTCTTATTAACTCTCTGATGGGACGACGGAGCCAGCACGAGTTGAGTCACTGGAGGAGAACTCATTCCACACTTTCAGCAACCAGTCATTTACTCAGCGAGTTTTCAGAGCAAGCCGCCAGTTCGTGAAATGTGAATCTTACTGTATGGACTTGTTAAAAAGATGAAAATTCAGGAGTTTCTGTATTTCTGCCTTATTCTTGTAACTGCGTCTGCGAAAGGACATGAAAACGGTAAGAAGACTTAGCTTAATAACTGCATTCATTTAGCGATCGGAGAAATTTAAAATAAAAAACACGGATACGATTTTCGGCAAAATTTATACAGTGGTGTAAATTTGAATGTTTTAAATGTGTCATTTTGATTTTACAAGTCATGAATATAAAAGATCGTAGAGGAAAATGGGGAATCTGGATTACTCAAAAGACAGTTTTTGTTTGTTTGTTTGTTTGTTTGTTTGTTTGTTTGTTTGTTTGTTTGTTTTATTAGTCCTTTATTTATCTAGGTAAAAAAAACTAACTGAGAATAAAAGCAAACAAACAAACAAATTTCCAAGAGGGCACATAAGTACATAACATAAGCAAAGATGCGGATGCAAAGCACTTCCCTCTTACAAGCAATGAACACCTATTGGGGGCGCTATTTCTCTTGACCAGAAGTGAAGAAACTCTGTACTTCAAACATGATGATTAAACACACAACAGTCAAGCTCATAATTATTTATACCCATGGCAAATTTTGACTTAAAATTACTTTTATTCAACCAGCAAGTTTTGATTTGACTGGAAATGACATAGGTGTCTCCCGAAAGATAATAAGACAATGTACAAGACCTATTATTGTGGAAAAAAACATTTCTCAGCTCTCACTGAGGACCTGCAGCTGTGCATTGTGGCTGCTCAAAAGTCATGAAAGGGCTACAAGGCCATATCTAAGTGTTTTCAAGTTCCAGTGGCTACAGTACAAACTATTATTAAAAAATACAAGATGTTCCACACCAGGGAAAATCTCAGACGATTTGGTTGGAAGCCAAAAGTGACACCTGTGCTGGCCAAAATAAAAATCATAAATTTTATTTTCAGCTAAATTTATACAGTGCTGTTAATCTAAATGTTACGAATGTGTAATTTTAATTTTATAAATCCAGAATATAAAAGATAAGAGAATCTGGATTACTCAGATTATTGGATACGACCTCTTTCTGGCACTCCACAGTGCCAGAAAGAGGAGGTTTTTGCCTTTCCAACCTACAGGTGGTGGTAATTCTGTGGACCAAAACAAAGTAAAGTCTGTACTACTTAAATTCACTCGCGGTTTAACATTTCTTTTCAACCACAATGAAAGCTGTACGTCAGAAGAAGCAGCATAGGTAAGAACAAACTATAACAGCTAATCAACCACAACATTAAATATGTTTGATTTTATGGTTTCCAATGTTTCTCAGCTCTCTTTATTGTTTTAGGGAGAAAAGAGAGGACAGTGGTTCTTCTTCTTCTTCTTCTTCTTCTTCTTCTT